AAATAAGCTCAACAAAGTAAGACTGGGTTCACAGCTGGTTGGCTGCTGTTTGATTCTCAGTATTGTTTTTTAACATTAATAGAAGTCATTTTCACTTGCAGGTGAAGGATACCCATAATGGGACTGTCCCGAACCCGCTGTCCTCCACCCATGACTTCCTGCCGGCTTGCTCCCTCTGTTTTCCTCGTGGAGGTCTGTCAGACATTTTCTCTTCATCGGATTTGATCCTGACGGATGTCTACAGATAGGTTTTTAATGTGTGGGTATATTTCCTGTCCTAGGTCCAAGTGTGTACAGTTTTGTTCACAAGCCAGACCTGGTCCACAACTGTAAGAGAGACGTTTTGTTGTGCAGACGGAAAGCTGGCTCTTCCTCCGACTGGACGAGAGTGAGACCGCTTCCTGCACAGTCTGCGTTCTACGGACGTTTTGTTCTTTGTCGAGGTAAGACGACATCAAAGAGACGCTGTTTGTGGTATCCAAGCACTGCTAATGATTGCTGCACGAGTTATTTAACAAAACAACTCTGTTCCTTTCATCGTTTTCTTTTGCTCTTCCGTCCTTAATAATAACCGGTAAAAACTTTGAGAATTAAATGCTAAAAGCTTGGTTTGCTTGTTCAGACATGAAATCTGTCAGCCATTTATGCTGCTTGTTCCAGTTTCTTTCTGTTTAAGTAAACATAGTTTGGACATGTTTATTAAACATGACTGTGTTCAGGTCCAGCTCAAGGTCATGTGAAGCTGGAACCTGCAGAAAGAAACACTTAATGCTCGCTGTTTGCTAGCAGTAGCTGCGTTTCCATAGACAAAACTTTGTCGATTTTCCTCTTAACACAATTTTGGTGTTTCCTTTAAATAAAAAGGAAATAAAAGTCACTCGCTCGTGTATGAGTTTGTTTACGTGACAAATGATTAGAAAGATATTCTGTGACATGATCCTCCTACCTCTTCCTGTTGTCGTCTTCGTCTTCACCAGCAGTAACATCCGGCGGTTCGTCACATGATGTGAAATAAATGTTTCCAATGCAGCTTTGAGGAATACACTAATTTCAATATGGCGGAAAAACAGCAAATCTTTTTGATCAGAAAAAAATAGCTTTTTTGAAATGGACAAGTTTCTACTAAGCAAATTTATTTTAATAATTTCATTTTGTGCATTTCTTGGTCAATGGAAACACAGCTTGTTGCTCAGTTACAGTGGTGTGAAAAAACATTTCTTCCTTAGATAGATTTTGTGGTTTTGCTTGTTTTGTCACACTAGTAGTATGATAAAAATATTAATATCGGAGAAAGATATTGTGTGTAAATACAACATACAGTTTGAAGTCACACCACAGCGTCTCTTTCAGATTGAAGTCCAGACTTTGACTAGGCCTTTCCAAAACCTCAATTTAATGTTTTAACAGTTAGTGTTTTAACTTTTCTGCTTGGTATGTATAACTTTTTTTTTTTTCCTTTTTTATAAGTGAAACCACGACTTACGAACTATTTTTCAAAAATATTTAATCAGGCTAACGTCGCCTGATATTTCTATTTCTTTGAGCTGAAACTTTTATTCCCAGAAACGCAGAAGAATGTTTTTTTTTGTTTGTTTTTTGTTTTGTTTTGTTTGTTTTGTATTTAGAGCTGCTGAACTCTGGGGATGCAGGTGTGTGCAAGTATGGAGAAAAATGCACGTTTGCCTACAACCAGCTGGAGATCGACGTTTGGACAGAGGAAAGAAAGGGGCGGCTGGACAGGCACTCTCTGCTCGGATCATCGGCGCCCCAACTGGACCCGGTGAGCAGCATCATCGACCTTCTGCAGGAACACAAGGGCATGTTTATCTTCCTCTGCCAGGTTAGTGCGCGCACACTGTCGTATCTGAAGGTTTAAAACTGAAGACAAGACTTTTAGTTTTTAAGTGTTTCCTGTTATTTCTCCTCAGGAATGCTACGACAGTAAACCTAGAATCATCAGTAAGCGCTCCGTTGTCAGTCAAGCCATCTGCTCCAACTTGGATGCTCGTCACAACTTTGACGCCAACAAGTGAGTCGGCACCAACCCCGAGCCCTTGTAGCTTATTTCATTGCAGGTCCAACGTCTCCCCTCTGTCTCCTCCCAGGTGCTTGGCCTTTGTGATGAGGACCCACAACATCAACTACAGAAAAGTCCGTCCTTTCAGCGTGGTGTGCAACTTGGATTTGTGCCGACAGGCCATCCGATACGGCTGCCAGCGGGAGGACAACTGTGTGTTTGCTCACTCCGTCATAGAGCTGAAAACCTGGAGGGTTCAGCGCCACACAGGTCCGGTGACACTAACAGACTCGCTGGTTGAACTGTGTCACACACAGATTGTTTGATCCAGGAAGTTCTGTTCTCAGAAGAGTAAAATGTTAAGGTACATTCAGCCCAGGCTAAAATGTCCCATATCCTATTCGTCTGTAGCTGAAATATAATCTTTGCAATACATTTCAAAAGAATTTTAAAGTGATATTTGCTTCAAAACGTCCTGCATTGTTGTTCTAAAGAGTTGATAAACATTGTTTTTGTTTTTCTGTTTTTGTTATTTTTAAAGCAGCATGTATAGTTGATTTCCACCTTGTAAATACTCAATGGCAAAATAGTGACCAGTTTTTATTCAAATATGTGTTTATTTACAGGCATCAGCCTGGATGAGATTGTGAAAGTGTCCATGAGATTTTATGACAAGCAGGAACAAAACTCAAAAAAGGAGAAAGAAAAAAGGGTAAGAAAGGGTTCATGTATAGGCTGTTTATTTATTTGAAATTAGTTTCCATCTTGTTTTCATTCAGTAGAAAAAGTTTTGACCCATTACACATTTATTTCTTTTTCTTTGTCACACCTAAATGTTGATGTGTCTGTCAAATAAATGTTAATATCTGAGATAACCTGAAGGAAAAAAAAGGCGTTTTCGCACTGCAGGGAACGGAACGGTTCCAGCCCTGTTGTGTTCGCATTACACTGAGGGCGCCATCGAAGCGGTGCCGGACGTCGTTATTTTTGAAACTAAACAATGGTTTCGATGTAGCGGCCGACTGTACTCGTTCATCAGCGAGTAAGCGGAAGAAAAAAAATACCTCATCATTAGACCAGGTGATTGCACTACATTGAAACAAATCCATTGCTAATTAAAACTAATAATAAAATAATAAGCAGAACCGCTTGGCCGGCCCGATTGGAACCACAGCTCTTGTGGTTCCATGGGGCCGGGTGGAACCGGTGGCAAGTTGTAATGCGAACACGCTCGGAGCCGTTCCGTTCTGTGCAGTGCGAAAGCGCCTAAAGAGCGGTATTAAACTGATGATTTCATTTATGAGGAGATCGATCAACCAATCCGGTGCTCCGTTTAAAAGTAAACATCCTTTAAACCTGTCCACTAACCCTTGAAACCAACAACTGGCGTCTTGTTTTTACAGTAATTAGAAAAGCAGAAAGGTGGGTGAAAGCGAGAGTCTTTTTCCAGCTTTTTGAGCTTTTTGAAAGATATAACTATGTCTTATAAACATAAGACAGTTATGTCTTATGTTAGACATAGTTATGTCTTATATAAACGTAAGACATAGTTTTATAGTACTATGTCTGAGTACAGATGAAGTTTATTGCTGAACAACTCACTGTTTGTAATATAGTGTTCATTGACATCCAACTTTCCATGTTGAAATTCTGACTTGTTTAGGTTTTCAGATTTTTCCCAGGTTAAATCACTTTTATACAAAAACTGAATGTTCGATGTCATGAAATAACATTGGCCTCCATTGATTTTTCCTTTCTCCAGCTGTCTTCTGGTGGAGGTGGAGGCAAATTAAAAGGATCAAGCAATGCTGGAGCAACTCTTAACATGAAGATGAAGTTTGCATGTTCGCAGTGCTGGCGGGACGGCCTGATCAGCGAACCGGACAAAGGCCTCAAATACTGTACAGCTAAAGCCAGACATGCGTGAGGAAATACCACAGTCCACAAATATTCAGTAGATTTATTTAATATAACTGGTCTAAAAACTCTTATTCAGACAAGAATCTTTGGGACACAGCAATGCATTCTAGACAGTACTTATCGTAATAAATAAATGTATTATAATATGAGAAGTACAATATTCTCACTAGACTTTAGTGGCCAAACCATTGACATTTTTTAAACCATTAAAGACTGCTTCAGTTAATAAAATGTTTTTTGGTAGCCACAGCTCTGCTCTATTCAGTGTCTAGATTTAATTTAACCCAGTGCCTCTGGGTTTTTGCCCTTTTCATTTCCAGGTGGACCAAAGAGAGACGCGTGCTGCTGGTCAGGTCTTCAGAGCGGAGTAAATGGGTTAATGTCCGACCACTGCCGCACGCCAAGAACTTCCCTCTGTACTATGATGTAGGTCTGCCAATCCTAAAAATAGGAGGTTTTATTTGTAGCGCTCATCCCGGACGAACCCCCAGATTTTTCTTGTAGGACTCATTTAGCCCAGAGGTTCAACCTGACATCGAATGTCTTGAACTGCTGCTTCAATATTTCCACATAATGTTTCCTTTTGTTCCTACCAATTTATGAGAAATTCCTCCTGCAGTAAAACAAATTCAAGTTTTCTTCCCCGAACCTTCACAAATGGTACTTTATTCTCAGGCTTGCAATTTTTTTCTTTTTCCTCAAGTGTGGAAGTCACTATAATTTTAACAATACCAACTACAAGTAGCAGCTTTACAATAAGTTTTGATTTTATTTTGGGATCAGCTATTGATATTGGCAGCCCCTGTAGAGTTGGGCCTCTTGGCTGCTTCTCTGTTTAATACAAATGAAATCCACACTCCAGACTTTTATGTGGGGGGAAGAAAATCCTTCTTTCTTTCTGTTCACATTTAGGTCCTGTTTTGTGCTGGTCTGTCGCATCCTGATTTTTACGTGACAAAATGTGGAAAAGTCGAATTGGTGTGAACACTTTTTGCGATTCTGTGTGTATTTATTCATTTGCTTCTCCTGTCAGATGTGCGCACAGGTTCTGGAGAAGAGAAAATGCAACTACACTGGAAACTGCAGCTTTGCTCACAGCCAAGAGGAGAGGGAGATGTGGATGTACATGAAAAATAACGAGTGTGAGTGATTTCAATTTCCCTCCACTGCAGTAGCTACAGAATTAATAAAACAATCACACAAATCCTGTTTGGTGTTTGAATAATTTGGAGTCGCATCTAATAATTTTAGATGCGTTTGTTGAACCAGTTGTGTTTGTGTTTGCAGTGTATGACATGGAGCAAGTATACAACATGTGGCTGGCTTTAGCTGCTCAAAACCGCCAGTCAGATGGATCCGTGTGCAATCAGTCTAACCCCGAGGAGAAGTTCATCGCCATGCCAACCGACTTTGCAGAACAAATGGTTGGTGAATGGACCGTTTGCTTATTAATTGGTATTGCAGCAAAAAGGAGGTTTTAAACATGCATCCTTATTGTCCCTGTTTTTAGGACGGCTTCCACTGCCGTCTGTGCGGTAAGCACAGTAACAGCGAGCGGCAGTGGCAGCAGCACATTTCTTCGGAGAAACACAAAGACCGAGTGTTCAGCTGCGAGGGTGAAGACGAGGCTCTGACGTGGAGCTACCGCTTCCCCGGAGCGTGTTTTAAAATCTGCCCCAAGTAAGCTCCGAATCCGGTTGTCCGGTCCTCCTCCGCTTCACACGTTTCCTCGGGTTCGGAAACGACTTAACCTAAGCGATGGCCAGTCGTGAATTGAATGTAATCTTTGTGGTTTCCAGGATCGGCGGTGGCGGCGGCTGTCCTGACGGCGTAAGCTGCGACTACGCCCACGGTTCAGAGGAGCTGCAGGAGTGGATCGAGAGACGGGATTTTCTTCGACAAAAGCTAGCCAAAGCCAGGGAAGACATGCTCATCATGCCGGACGAGCTTGACTTTGGGAAGTACAACTTTCTGCTTCAGGATTGAGAACAGTGGAACTTTCGCGGGGCCGGTTTTGGACCCGGCAACCTGTCGGTGTGATCGTTTCACGCCTCGTCGAACTGAAACCAAAGGGACAGCAATCAGGATTTCCAGCTAGCCAAATATACCATTGAATCTATGGAAGTATTCGCCTTTCAAAAAAAAGTCACCATCTAAACTTAATTTTGTTAATGTTTTTAAGTCTCTAGCAACAAATTTACTGCTCATTTTTGCATAATGTCAACCTTATTGTTAAGTAAAGCATCCTTTGAATGTAATGTATAGACTGTGAAACGTGTATCTACCATTAAAGAATCGGTTCTATATTTTTGTCCAAGGTTCATATTCAGCCATGCTTCCTACTTTTGTTTTTTCTCTTTCTCCCTCCGTTTGTCTTTTTTCAGAAGCAGTTTATCCTTTTGTCTCACAGTTTATCAAAGTTAGCTGAATATTGGAAAAACTTACTTAAAATCAATCACTTTGATTTTATACAAACAAGCCATGAGACATTTTTATTTTTCTCTCGGAATACTAAATAAACGTCAAGGAAACCTGCTGTCAAAGACTTTCCTCATTTTATTTTCTGAGGTGGAGGGGAACCCACACAAAACCGATGCATAATCTGACATCTTCATTTATGTTTTAATTTTGCAGAAATTCTCCTTTTTGCTGTTAATTTTTTATAAGAAACATTATGCTGAGTGTACCAGGAATACAGTGCTAAACATAATAAATTCAACCCTGTTTGCAGCAGCATACTTTTCCACCAAAAGCCAATATAGATAACAGATTTATGATCTTTACACAATTCTTTACAGGCAGAAAAATATCCATTTGTAGCTAAGTTCTTGGTGACTTTATTTGGTCCACTTAATAAAAAGTCCCTCTAATTAGGTTTGTTAGAAGCTGGAGAAACCTCTTTTATCTTCTGACTCTTTGAAACTCTGGGATATAAATATGACATCACACTTGAATCAATGTTTCTTTTTGTGTGTGTCTCCACAAATAGTAGGCAATGCATCATGCTAATACTGAGATGTAATTTAAAACGTACTGAAATTTCAGTATATTTAGTAGTTTACTTTTAAAGTAAGCATTAAGTGCAGTTTAAAAAATTCTATTTTGAGCATATATTTATAAAATATACACAAAATTTCTTAAAAAGCATATTATTTCATTGGTACACTTGAATAAATACATATTTTGTTCCCTTAAAGTATACTTTTATTATATTTCTTAAAAGTTTATTTTGGTACAATTATATTTAAGTGTGTTTAATGTCAAAATTGCAACAAGTATACTTTTAGTATACTTAAAATGTACTTACACAAATGTAAGTATGTTTGAAATATACTAAAATATATTTTTTTCTCACTAGAGGTGATGGAGTGGGGTTACTAATTAAACATCCCCATTTTGGGGGCGAGTAAAGATGGACAAAAGTCCTACCATTACAAATATAAACATGTGGCGTTCCCTGCAATATAGTCTAATTGGAACCACGTGATTTGGTTAGATGAGACAGCTTGTGCTTTTTAACAGATGCTAAACCAAACAATATGTTGGAGAAGCATCTCACTTCTTGACTGACGTGGTGGCAGTAAATGTGCTACATTAAAGATGTGTAACGCAAATACTAAATTTGGAGGTGGATGTCGATTCTTGTATTATGTAATAAAATAAGAAACTTTGATTTAAAGTTATTTGAATTAATGAAAATCACTTTAGAACTAGATTTTGAGCGTGAATGTTTATATCAATCGACTTTTACATAGATGCAAAAGCATTCTTCTTAGACGAAGTTCTCGGTTTGCTCAAATAGTCACGTACGCCAGCACTTGCTGGCGTACGTGACAGCGCGCTCCCGACACAGCGGAACCAGATCGTGTCGTGTTAACCACTGACATGACACCGTTGCACTGCCTGCATCGGCCACTAGGTGTCACTGCTCGCCCCTAATGAAGCCCTGCTGGGGACCGCACGTGCAGACGTGCATGGTGTACAGAACCCAGCTCCCAGTCTATAAAATCCTGTTGTTGTTGTCGTCGCTTTGAGGACCTGCCTCCCGCTCTCTGATTGGCTCTCCAGCTCAACTGAAAGGCCGCGCCCTCGAATCCACGGAGTTCGGGGGCGTGGCTTGTGCTACTCATTAAATCCATAATACTTGGAGACATGCGGGCGTCCCTGTGTTGCAGAGAAGTTAGTGAAAAGTGAAAGAAGTGAGTTGCAGAGCGCATATACTGGGTTTGCTTCGTATTTTGAGGAACTTCTTCTGAGTGGGAGCAGTTCTTGTTATTTTTGTGGAGTTTTTTGTTTTTCTTGTCGACAAGAGCAGGTACGTCACAGTTCATCATGACAGCAACGAGTGAAATCCTCTTTGGAGAGAGAAGCGAGACTACTGATCTCCTAAAGTCCCTGGCTGACTATCCCTTCTCTTTTCCAGCTTTTGATGACATCGGTGAGTTGTTTTTTAATGCTATCTATTAATTGTTTCGTTCTGAAAAAGTTTACATCGATTTATGTTTTTTTTCTTTATAGCCTACTTTAAACGTTTCAATGTCATTTTAAGTGGAGGTATACTCCTACTGTAGGGTTGTGTAAAGCCTAACTATTCATTTTAATGTTAGACTAGTACTATTTACATTACTTGTAAAGGATTGCATTAAGTATCTCCTTATAACCAGAAATTAATTATTAATTTTAAACAATCATGGGGCCATCTGATGGTGACATTACTTTGTGACAGTCTACATAATTTTTTTGTCGTTGTTTTCCGTGACTTGAAACTGATTCAGTTTACTCATAAGGTTTAAGTAAAAATTAATTAAAACAGATATGCATACCGTGTACTGGGAAATAATCTGTGATTCATTAGTTCACAGTGCAACAGTCGCAGGTGAATTTTAGGTGTGGCTCACTTATTAGTTTGCAAATATGTCGTCTCCTCATGAACAGCTGTGACATCAGCAGATTGCTATCTTTCAGCTTGTGGTGACAACATGGCCACCTGAAGCTGATGCAACGAAATGGAAACAGCCTTCACTCAGGCTTAACTTTGTGTTTGTTTTTCTACTCAAACTCAATTTTCCCAAAATCACACTCTCCTGAACATTACGACGGTGCAGATAAGTCATTCGTTTGCTCTGCAAGTTTCAGATGAATTTAATCTGTAGTCCAAAAAAAAAAAAAAAAAAGTCTTTTGCGGACGTCACACTTTATCAGTTAGTTTGACATAAAACAACAACAACAACAACACATTGTTGTCTCTTCAAGCAGCTTAAAAGTGATCTTTTAAAGTTTTCGTTGTTTAGAATTTGTACGTTGTCTTTTTCTTGGTTACCGAGACTTTACTTATGTGTACGAATTATTCCTCTCATTGATTGATGTCTCTGAGGATTACAAAACGGAAAATATGTGAATGAAGAACACCAACTGCTTCTGTTTCTTGAGATCCAGGGAAACACATTGCAACAATTGTCAAAGTGATTATGAAAGTATGCAGTGCGGGGCCGTTTCAGCACCGGATAGCTCCCTGTGTTGTGTAGCCCAACGACAGCACTGCTGTTCTCTTCAAACGGTTCTCTTAACCCTCAGTATGGCAGATTGTCACATCATCTGCCAAGCTGCACACATGCTGCACGGAGAAAATTATACGTTTTAGAAGTGGAACTAGGTTATTATATTCTGTTGCTGTTGTTCATGTTTGATTTAATCTGTCACACCTTCTTGTTAAACGGTTAGAAGAGGGATTCTTTAACTTTTCAGTAAACACCAGTAGTTATAAATGCAACATTTTTCCCTTTTCATTCTAAGTTTTATCACTCACTCTTACTCTGCAGAAAAGCAAACTGCACACTTTTCTTTTCTGCTCCCGTGGGACTGAAGAATAGTGTAAAGAACGGGGGGGGAGGGGGGACGAGGAGAAAGGTCACAGGAGTACAAGTGATGCTTCTGAAGGGTTCATGAAAAAATGCTGCTGGGAATTGATTAAATCGCTCACCTGGAATAGGCCAAATCGTCCCCATAATCACCCACAGATCTTCATTATTCTTGTCTTTAAAATGTCAATATGGATTTCATTGCTATGAATGCAATGATCAAGTTGCTTTTCCTCAAATTTCTTTACAATAACGTTATCCTTAACATTTATATGCATGCTAAAAATATGAAACTGTTTCCCCACAACTTTTAATAGCTTCTGGCTTTTTATCGTTCTGCATTTATTAAGTAATACAAGTATTAGAATGTTGATGTTAGTCAATTAACTAGCCTGCATTCAGATGCTTAACAGACATGCTAGCTGTTGTTTGGCAATTGCAGTTTTACAACAGCATTCCCTTAATAAGACTGGAGGCTGATGCTTATGTAGTTTCGGCACCATTACTGCTTCTCTCAAGCAGAAATATTATATTTCTTGTAGCAAAAAGAAGACCATGGAGCTTCGATTAAGCCAGCTGACCAGCAGTGTGCAGGCTGGGAGGACTGATATTTTTAGCTTGACTCAGCTGGACAAAACTCTGATCACTCAAGCTGCACTTTTCCTTTTTCCTGGCATTAAAATGACTTAAAATAGTAAAACGATTGCACTTCCATAGATTTTGATCACCTATTCAAACATTTTGACGCAGGTTCTGGTGTCATCTGATCGCGTTGTGTTATAAAGACGGCGCGGTTTACAGGCCGCAGTGCTCTGCGTGGCATTCATGAACCAGCTGCTGCCTGGGAAATTTCCTGGCCTCCTTTCAGCCCGGACTAGCAGCTTGTTTACCAGGCATCTATTATTAGTGGCGTAAACAGATACAGGCAGTGAAGGTGGGTTGAATACCACAGTGCACCTTTCAGTTTGAGAGAGCACGTGACGAGCAGAAAGGTGTGTGGAAACGTGAGCGTCCCCACTTTCTGTGTCAGTTTTTAACAATGATTAAATTCACTCGTCCTTCGCACCGAGTCGAATGTTTTCATTTTCGGGAACTGGAAACAAATCTGCGAACATAAATTAAAAAAAAAAAAAAAAAAAAAAAAAAAAAATTAAAAAAAGTTAGTAGTGAATGATGTCTGTTGTGCTCTTCAAGTGTCCTCGCGCTTGTCTGCTTGTTTTTAATCCGTGAGCACGCGCGTTCTGTTCCTGCTGCTGTTCTCCTTTTCCCACACGTGCGGAGGATCTGAAGCCACGCCCCTCGACAGCTTGCGCTTTCACGTGAGGGAAGGCGAGGGAGGGCCGCACGTGTTTGTCCACGAGTGTCCCGTTCTTGTGAGAGAAGTCACAGCAGACAGCCTGTGTTTTTGGGAGAGCTGCTGACTTGCAACCTCGGCTGCACGCCATACGTAAACAACTTTAATTAATTAATTTATTTCCCCCCTCATTATCTCTGCGGGTTTTGTCCAATCTAGTGAGAGTTTTCATTTATATTTTTTGTTTTTTAGCGCTATTTGTATAGAAAAAAATATGTTCAGATATCTACATATTCTTACAGTTTGTACATGTGGCTCGTGATATTATTCTATGTTCATTATCTTTCAGCATTTATTACCTATACGACAGAGTAGCTACTGCAACAAAAATGAGACGCTGATACATATTCATGTCCAAAAGCGGCCACGACCAATCAGCTCCTACTATTCCCCCTCAGTGGGCGGGACTCGCGCTCATGAATATCCAATGAACGCGCTCGGTGGGTACGCAGAACGAGACGGTTGTGAAGTCTATTAGAGACGTCTTATTATTGATAAAGAAGGTCCGACATTAGCTGTGGTTGAAGAAAAAGTGGGGAATTTGTGCGAGGTTTTTATCGCCGTGGTTCTGGACCGAGCACTAGCTGCCAACTCAGCCTCCGTCTGCCCAGAGTCTTGGCACGGAACAATGCCTGGTAAAGCCGAGGTGGCGGTGGCGCTCCCAGCCGCAGCGGCTCCTCAGAAGTCCTACCCTTTTGTTTTAAAGAAGATCATGGACATCCCACCTCCTAATATCCTGGACGAAGGAGACGACGGTAAGCTGCGGGTGTCAATCTTCTTAAGAGTTTTACAGGGTTTTTATTTTAAGGTAACAGAACTAGTTCACACACACACACACACACACACACTTCGTGTGCTACTTAGGGATCATTATGTGTGTGTGTGTGTGTGTGTTTTTTTAGCTTAACGTTGTTGGTGATGGAGTGGCTTGTGTGCCATGTGTTGCTCTAAGCCTGTTTCATCTGAAGCTGGGGTTGGGGAGGGTGGGGGAGTGTAAAAAGAACAAAAAGTTCCCACTTCTCTGGGCCGCTCTGAAGCCAATAAAACCACTCTGTTAGGACACTTCCAGACGGAGAAACGGCTTGGCTTTTTTATCCAACTCATACTTTAAATGTTTTATTTGTTTTTCTCAGCTCAGACTGTGTCGCTTTGTGTCTGGGGCTGTTTATGCGGAAGATCCACGATCTGACTTCCGTGACGCCCCATGCTGTAATGTTCCGCTCTCTCCGTCAAGCGTCACTGACAAACTATTTGATTTTAAACCCTCCTTTATTTACACGTTTTTTTCTCTCTCTCTCTCTGTGTGTGTGTGTGTGTCACCACCCACTTCCTGTTCATGTATAAATACACCTCTGCTGCTGTGCATGTGTTAGAAACAGAAATTGCATATTTATTAAAGCCGACCGTCAGACCTTTCTGTTAAATACACCAGCTTGTCGCCGATAAAACAAGCTGCCATTCTTCTTTTACTGGTTTGCTTTAAAGCGTATCTTACAAAGATAAAATTTACCTTTCTGAGAGCCAGATCGCCAATGTGTCTAATGACGTCACACCAGGCAGCGATCAGATTTCTTGTGTACTTTTAATGTTTTGCTCATGTTTTTAACCAAAACCCTCCCTTAATGCAGTTTTCTTGTTCTGTATTCTGTACAATTTCAGCAAAAGATGATGTAGTTTTATTTTTTATTTTTATTTTTTTATAACTTTAAGGAATATTTGGGAATGATAGAACGCATGAACACGGTTTGTGATGTGAGGCATTACAGGCTGGACTGGACCGATTTTATAATCAAATATTTTCAACATTCATCCTGATAGAAGTGGTTTAAAACGGTCCAGTCGAATCATTCGATTAAGCATTGCTGTCCAAAACGAGGGGCCAAGTCTGGATGTATAAAAGGCACCGATTCTCCTCACTGACATTCCATGTAATGGCAGTCTTTAATAAATAATATATAAATAATAATCAAAATAAAAGCATTTAAAATGATGTACCAACTCCTGATTTTGGTGAGCCGTTCCGAGATTTAAAGTGACCTTTGTGGCGGCACGTCCAAAGGATGTTTTATTTCTTTTCTGCAAAATTGCTGCAGGACTCGCTACTTCTGCTGCAAATACTTCAAAATCTACGTCGAAATTTGTCACTTTTCCTTCATTATCAACACCAATTCTTGTGCCTGTTGCGATTTTTGTCAATCAAAATACACAGACGACAGAAATGGTGGCTTTCTTTTCATAAAAAAAACCTTTTGTATTTTATCAAATTTTGCAGTGGAAATGTCTGCTTTGCTAGTTTTGCATTTGTCAGAGAGGGAGGAACAAAAACACATTCCACTGGTTTAATAATAATTCTGTTTTTCTTTTGCTCTTTACGCAGAATTAGAGAAGGAGAAGCAGTGCTCCTCAGAGGATGTGGAAGGAGGAGGCGGTGTGGCCTCCAGTGCTGGTGGAGGCTCTAGAGGAGCAGGAGGTGGAGGAGGTGGAGGCAGCGGAGGAGGCGGCGCAGGAGCGTCGGCCTCCCTGACCCCAGCCATCTGGGAGAAGACCATTCCTTACGATGGCGAAACGTTCCACTTGGAGTACATGGACCTGGACGAGTTTCTCCTGGAGAACGGCATCCCGGTGAGCCTGGAGGAAGAGGAGCTACAGAGGACTCTGGCGTCCGTGGAAACCAAAGGCAAACCCGCTCCCAAGGCCGTCGCTATGGCTCCCGCTGCACCAGCCGCAGACCCTCCGACCTCCGCCGAAGTCCCTGCCCCTGCACCGCCCGCCGCGTCTCCCTCCGATGCCCCTTTGGATGCAGAGGAAAGTGTGACGGTCACGACGTTGCAACCCGCCAAAATAGAAGAAGAAGAAGAAGAAGAAGAAGAAGAGGAGGAGGAGGAAGGACAGGAAGAGGAAGCTTTGACTGAGGAAGCTCCAGCAGAAGTGAAAGGGAAGAAAACAGGCAAGTAATTCAGAACAAAAGCAAGCGATGCAATCCTTAATTTATTTATTACTGTTTGGACTTACTCTTCTTCTGTATATCCTGAATTAAACTAAGCAGAAAATTACAGTTCTTTTCCTTAAAAAGTGAAAACTGAAAGCTGGAACGTTTCCAGTGCTTATTGTAGACTGACGTCTCCTTGTAGGTTTCAGTTTGGTGCATAAAGTCCCTTTGCATACGTAAAGGCAGTCAAATCAGCGGCCAGTCAGTCTACAGCGTTCAGACTTCCACCAAATAAGGCGGTTATTACACGAAGCTCTGACTCTAAAATTATCTACAAAAGGAGATATTAAGAATTAGACATAAAGTAGATTAAATAACAAACAACGGCTGGTTGCCATATTGGAAAAGGATGAGTCATTCTGAGTACTAAAACATAGTGACGATGTAGCTTTACACGTTTTGTCACCTTACAAATCAACTTCAATGTATTTTATATTAATTTTACAGGACAGAGAAAAACAAAATGGCTGCTGTGTGAAACGCGGAGGTTTAGTTGAACATATGCCACAGTTTTCAAATTTTTACTTTTAAAACATTACATTAACCACTCATCATTCTACTTCCACTTTAGTTATGTTATTTAGTGCATATCATGCCTCAATTACATTTTGGAAGGCAATGAATAATTTAATCCTCTGTTGATTTTACATAAACATCAATATGTTTGATATCATTTGATCAAAATCTCTCTTGCAACCCGACTCAGTGTTTCCCTCTGAACCCGCAGACGGTAAAGGTGGTGCAGAACGAAACACGCCCTCCCCCATCGACCCCGATGCCATCGAGGTGGACATCAACTTCCAGCCGGACCCCACGGACCTGGTCCTGTCCAGCGTTCCTGGGGGAGAGCTGTTCAACCCCCGCAAGCACAAGTTCTCCGACGAGGAGCTGAAGCCTCAGCCCATGATCAAGAAAGCAAAGAAAGTGTTTGTTCCTGATGAGAAAAAGGTAGGTTGGACACAAATATGGCTTCCCTAAATCTAAAAAGAGGCGGTCTCTTTTATGGGCCAGAGTTTAGTAGAGTTTAGTAAGAAAGCAAATATGTTTTTCTTTTTTACTTGGGTGCCTGGAAATGGAACAGCTTTTGAGTTATTGTTGTTTAATATGAACAATTCTGTTCAGTCTTGTTTAATTATGATTAGTTCAATTTACTTAAACTCAGTCTGTCAGTGTAGCACAAACCAATTGGCATTGTATGATCACTAGAATTTTAATTTTATGACGGCAAATGAGATATATATATATATATATATATATATATATATATATATATATATATATTGCAGAAAATTTTCAAAATTCTAAAAAGTTTTGGAAATTTCTAAGATTGATCTCAAAATTTGAAAATTTTCAACTTTTCAAACTCAGAAAAAGCGAGGACAATCTCAGAATTTCTGAAAAAACTTAGAAAATCTGAACATTTTAGAAATTTTACAAATTTCAAAAATTTTGGAAATTTCTGAGTTGTTTCTAGCAAATTTCTGACTACTCAGACTCAGAAATTTTCAGGGGTTTTTTTCTAGAAAGTTTCTGACAGTCTCCTCTTTTTTCTATTTACAATGCCACGAATGTGCCATCGTACAATTCAGATTAAATTACATACAGACAGTGCAAACCCTATCATACAATCCCAGTTGGTAAAATGCCAATAGCACTAAATAGTTAACTTTGTGTTGTCACTAATTCCACCAGGATGAGAAGTACTGGTCCAGGAGGAAGAAGAACAACCTGGCAGCGAAGCGTTCCCGCGATGCGCGGCGGCTGAAAGAGAACCAGATCACGGTGCGGGCCTCCTTCCTGGAGCGGGAAAACGCCGCGCTGAGGCAGCAGGTTGCTGAGCTGCGGAAAGACTGCGGTCGCTGCAAGAACGTCTTGGCCCGCTACGAGGCCAAGTATGGCCCTCTGTAAAAACAAAAACAAGCAAGAAAAAAAAATAGAAAAGAAACGGCGACGAAAAAAGAACGAAATAAAAAGAAATCTAGAATCCAACGAGACAGAAGCAGAACTCCCCTCCCCGCAGAATCCCAACACGAGACACAAACCTAAATTTGCAATGTTGTCTTCACCGACCTCCGGTAGAGCTCCGGCTGACGTGATGATGCTGGAGGTTTGGACGCACGCTGTCAGGTGATGGGGGTGCGACGGGAGCGGTGGTCGCAGGAAGGCCTGTGGAGAGCGCCTGGCTCCTACACTGAAAGAAGTGGTCGATTGTGGGTGTGGAAAAAGTCATAAAGTGTAGAAAAAGAGGAAAGCTGGTGCAGCAGAATCTCTCTCTCGCACACACACGCACACACTTCGGTTTTATCACCACACACTGCTTCTTGGAGGACCAAGTCGTGGACAGGCTCAATCAGGCTAATTAAACGAGCCGGAGTTAGCTTCATGTCGGTACTGCTAACAGGGCGGGCTGCTATCGGCGGGCTTCAGTCCCAGTTCTTCCCCGTGTTTACGTCGTGTTTTTGTGTGTTCTTCGTGTGTGTAACTCATCATTGCACTTTTTCCCTTAAACACACACACACACTCCTACACACACATTAGCTGTGTGAGAACAGGTAGCCGTTAGCCGCCTAGCTCACTTTAAAACTGCAGAAGAGGGGAAAAACACAGTAGCTTCCTCATAGAGGATTATAAGAGGGTGTTGAAGTCTAGTAAATTCTGAGTTGTATAAAAATGAAGACTGTACAAATCAAGAAAGAAAAGTCAATTCTTATGTCAGCCAGACGGTCTAAGTTTGACGAACTCAGAGGCCCTCGTTCGTGGAGGGGTATGTTAAAACGTAGAGATGTTTATTTTACTGCACACTGCAAGTAGAGGGCGCTAGAGTCACTGTAACCCCACCAAAGGTGTCGTGACACGGGATTGATTTCTTCTCCTGTCTTTTTTTTTTTTTTTTTTTTTTTTTTTTAAAAATTTAGCCAGGGCCCAGAGCCCGCGTGCTTGTAAATAATATATATCACGATTTCTATTTCCTAAGACAGGGACTATGAAATGTGTCTTTGTTAAACCAATAATATCCTAATGTTTGCCAAATAATGAGTGCTGTATCCTCTCTGATGGTAATAACACATCTGTTAATTGTGATGTACAAAACCAGTTTTTTCATTCTTTAAGAAACAGCTATACTATGAAAACCAATGACTGGGCAGGGAATTCAATGGATAAACTGTGTTTTTGGACGTTTTTCAAACTGATTTCTAAATGTCTTTGTTATTTCCTCCAGGATATATGACGCTCTGCTTTACCTCATTCAGCACGTCCTACCAGGGCCAGTCCAAGGTTTTTAGTAGAACTTGACACAAGGCCCCACTTGCAATTAAGTCTCACAAGCGTAATTAAAAGACATTTAATTAAACAATCCAGCAGAGACTGAATTGTACATGAATGTGAGCTCCACCTCAGATATTTTTAAAAATGTCTTAAATATTTCTTTTAAAAAATCCTATCAAATTTTAAAAATCAAATGTATTAATTCCACTTGTATGAAGGCATAACACATTTTGTACGTTTTCTTTTTCTAAATAAAACAAACTAAGTTAATTTTAAAAATGTAAAGCTATTAAAAATGAATCATTAGTTTTAAATTGCGACTCCACCAGAGCTATCAAACTTAATGTATATTTCTTTATATATATAAAACATGACTGAAATTAAATTGAAAATTTAAAAAAATGGAAGTTATCTTAAGCTTAAAACTCTGAAATCGTGGCTCACGTAAAAGCCACGATTTCTCACAATCATGAGAAATGAGCGTAAACATTGGCTGCTGACATATATCAGCTGGAATTAGCGCGATAGTGAAAGGGTTCTTGGGGGGCCCCCTGCTGGCCTGGGGGGCCCAAAGCAGTGACTTAGCCTGCTTTTTACCTGGGGCCGCTCTCCTTCCCATTCTGATTGGATTCATTTTTAGCAGAGCTAAAGTCGGGTTGGTTGAAGCAGAAAGCACATAAGAGGCAGGTTGGTTGTTAATGGCGCAAACTTTGGTTGAATTCCTTTTTTTTTTTTTTTTTTTTTGCCAAAATAGCCGAACCTGTTTCTAATTCAGCATCACAGACTGTTAGGGGTTTCTACATTTTGTAATCGGCTGGTTTGGGCTCCTTCTCACCGTATTCTCCGGAAAGATAATTAACGTGGCAATAATACTCTGCTATGTAATGCCTGTTTCATTTTAAGTAACAATGTTCTGTGTAAAACGTGCTATGAATAGAAATGTCCCCAAGTCGTTGTGCTTCCAGTTTTTGGTCCTCTTTCCTTAAGGATCTTAATGCATGAAAATCCAGTAAAGCTCGTCTTTATTTTCTCTTGTAAGTGTCACACCAAGTGTACTTATGTCTGTAAAACCATCACTAAATATAGGATGTGTTTTTGGATGCCTAAGATACTTACTCTGTAAAACAAAAATAATAAAAAGAGATGTCCTGTGCTTATGATGGGCACAACAGCACCAACTGTCTCAGCTGAAAGCGGTATCTTTTTCTAACTATTATAAGGATTGACTTCGATTTACTACAAATTGAATCATGTCAACATTATACACTGGATCAGTCGGTGCTTTCTGTGTTTTCATAAAGGGTAATAACGTTCTCGATGGTGTAGTATAAAAGACACTTTTAGGGCATCGTGCGTTTTTCTTTCTGCCTTTTAGACAATTCAAACATTTATTTGAATTCTTTCCACTTAATTAAAAACACGTTTCTCCCAAAAAAGAAAAATGGGTTGAAATTTAATGCCACGACAGGCGTTTTTAGTATAAAATAAAAACATAAAAATTCTTTGCGCACAGCATGCAGCTGTCTCTTTCATTCCGATGTGAAGCACCTTAAAATATAATTTATAATGTAAGAAATGATACGAGATTGAAACAAGTTAAAGATCCTCAACTTACACACATGGCAGCTTGTTTTGTTTTTTTAGGAAAGGAAAATAGCAGCAGTCTATCAGTCGATTATTGCTACACATAGATCCTCCGTCTTTAACCAAATCTGTTATCGTTTTGTGATCAAGGTCTTGAACTTTTTCAAGATGTTTAAAAAAAAGAGAGATTACACAATGAAACAGTAATGCTATTAGTTGAAAATCTGGAGCTCAGTTTAATTTCTCAAATATGAACAAGTTAAATCCTGTAACCAGGTTGGAATGCAAATCTGGATCAGTTCAATGTTACTGTTTACTCGTTAAAGTGCTCCTGGGAAAAGAAATCGTCAAATGTTTCAATGTGTTTTTTGCTTTCTTCTCTTTTTTATATAAACATGTTTTTTGTAATCCCTCTATCTGATACATGCAGCTGTCATAATATGTAACTGTACCTTGTTATATGCATATAAAATAAAGTGGAATTTAATGACGTGGGCTCCGGTTGTGATTTCACCTGAGACATCGAGCGGCTGTGGCGGAGCCGGCCCGAGGTATAAGCGTGCTAAGCAGCAAATGTACCTGTAAGGACCTCTAATTAAACCAGTAACTGGGAGAAAAATAACACTGATTGCAAAAATTTATTCTACCTCCTTAAACATGTTTTATCGAGCACAGTTTCCTTGATGAATAAAGCAAATTTACTGATTTGTCAAACAGTTTAAGGAATTCCTTGTTGACTCACCACATGAAGTAAAGTGTGATAAAAATCTGTCAACAAAAAATATAATTCAATTGATTTTTATAACTTGAACTTTAACTAAAAACGACTGATTTAATTATGCTTATGTGGTTCAATTCTTAGAGTGGAAATATTTGCCAATTAAAACCAGTGAGTTCCCATTGGCTAGAATTTAGTATAGATAAAAATATAATTCAACTCTACTTTTAATAATAATTTTGAGTTGATAATTTTTAAATAAGTAAAATGTAATTACAATTTTTTAAAATCAACATAATAATATACGAAGCTATACACACTTTTTTTTAAATTAACAGGCTATATTTTTGTAAAGATTAATTTAGCCCAGTAACGCCTTTTTGAGTGTAGTTGACGTCATCTTCAGTGGAATAGTGTGTAAACAACCAAGCGGTGGGGCGCTGGGCTCGGGGGCCCTGTTCAACTTTGAGCCGCCCCTGCTACCGAGGGACAGCAAGGAAACTGCTTTGGAAGGCGGACTAAGGTTTCGTCCCGAAACCTTTTATGCGAAGCACATTCATCCCGAGCACACACATCCGACATGGCGGGGTCACGTTTATCCTTTCCGGCAGCCGTTTCTTTTCTTTTCTCGTCCATGTCGTCTCTTGCCGCTCATCAGTATTCCAGAGGAGTAGGAGATGTTGCGTAATGATCACATCGGCACACACGGCGGAGCTGCGTTGCATAACAGCAGCAGCCTCAAAGACCAGCGGGATGTGTGTGTGTGTATTGAGATAGCAGTGAAAGGGGAGGACTGGTGAGGTTTGGGAGAAAAGAACTGAAGGCAAACCAGATGGATAAGGAAGGGAGGGAGGGGGAGAGACGAACAGCCTCCATGTCTTGCATGTTGATGTTTTCACCCGTACATTTTGCTCTGCAGCGCTTCCCTCAGATCAACGAGCCCAGCCTTTTTTTTTTTTTTTTTTTTTTTTTTTGGTTTTTTTTAAAACAGGTGGGTTTCGTTTGGAAAAAAAAAGTAA